TGTGAGCTATGACGTCACAGCACTCAACCCAGAGAAAGAGCCTGCGACTGTCTCCAAAAAAAAAAAGAAAACTTAAAGTAGAGATAAGTAAATACTTCCAAAATTAGTCTAATTTTCAAGGGAACTGGACTTGACATCTTGCACCTATGTATGTAAAAGAATTAGATAATGATGGATCTTGCAAATAATAGAATTTTGCAAGAGAGGAAGGGAGTCTTGGGAAAGAATGTGTCCTCCTTCCCTTGGTAGACCCTGGTGGGAACCCAGGTAATCAGTCAGTGGCTGCAGGTAATGCTGCCTCCTAGCGGCACTTATCCTGCAGCAGGAGACCCAACTTATCACCAGGTGCACACACTTCAACACTTTTACATCCCAATGAATTATCAAGTCCTTGATGAAGGGACCATGGCTTCTATATTTCTTTTGTGCAGTTCTTGTTAACTTGGAGGTGAGAACACCTTCCAGGCTCATGGACATGAGCACAAGACAAAAAGCTTCTCACTTCTGCTTCTGCTGGGCCTACAGAAATGCCAGTGACTGATGCTGAGAACATGAGGCCACCTGAAGTTTCTGCTCCCATGATCACATTACCAATGTAAGTGGCAAAAACAGATTATGGAGTAATCAATTAATTAAACTGTGCAATACTGACTTATCCATACTTCTAAAGACTAAAAAACAGAAGGCAGTGAATTCTTCCAGTGGCCAAATAAAATGCAACGAGGTTGTCAGCAGAATTTCAGAAAGTCAAACATAAGTGTTATAATCATTCCAATACCTACACTTTATTGAATGCTTAAAATGTGCTAGTTATTCTGTGTTATGTGCACTGTCTCATGGGATTCTCAAAACAACCACACAAAGTAACCCTTAATGTAATTTTAACAGTAAGAAAATGGAGGCAGAGACAAAAAGGCAGAAACATGACTTGTTTAAGGCTATTTCTACTAGTAGATAGGAAAGCTGAGAAACAACAAAAATGGCAATATTTATATTTTTTAAAAAATGCAAATATCTCTAATAAAGTATTTAGAAAATGGACCAGGCATGATGGCTCGTATCATCATAAGTGCTCATAATCCTAGTACTCTGGGAGGCCTTGAGCTCATAGGTTCAAGACCAGCCTGAGCCACAGCAAGACCTAGTCTCTTTAAAAAAAAAAAAAAAATAGCCAGGCATTGTAGTGGGTGCCTTTAGTCCCAGTTATTTGAGTGGCTGAGACAAGAGAATTGCGTGAGCCCATGAGTTTGAGGTTGCTGTGAGCTATGATGCCATGGCAGTCTACCAAGTGTGACAAAGCGAAACTGTGTCTCCAAAAAAAAAAAAAAAAAAGACAAAAGATTTATCATAGTTATCTAAATTGCTTTGAAAAAATGTATTGCCTTAGCAGATAATATTCTCTGCAAGACATATAATGAATCAGTAAAATTTATAGATGAAATAGGGTTTATTCATCAATTTATATACTGGCCTTGATGCAAAAGAAGACTAAAAGTGGCTTAAAGGGGGATAAGAGTAACTTTAAAAAAATAATCAAAAATATATATTATTCTCCCCAAAAGCTAGCTGCTTCCAAACTTGATTTAATATTTTGCATGTTCTCCCTTCGTTGCTTGGTAAACACGTTTGCTTCTCCTTTCTGTAATCGCCGTCTGACTGCTGATTTTTGCTGTTTTGTCAACTGACGTTTCACCTTCTGTTTCACGAGTTCCTAGAAAGATTTCATAAATTAGTATCACTAACAATGAACCGTTTTTGGTGACTGAGTAGACATTCCATAAAACAGATTTATATTGCTAAGATCTTTTAAATCTATCTTTCAAGTGTATATGTTAAAAGTATGAATTTAAAATATTCCAAAAACTGATAGTACTGTAAACTGTTATAAAACATGAAAAATTAAATTCCAAACAGAAACACAGATCATACAGCACAAAGTTATAGTCACAATTCCTTAAATAATGGATCACCATAGTGCCACCTAGTGTCCACCATGAAAACTAATGAAAAAAACTAGATTAAAAACTACTTGTTCTCAGGTTCCTGAGTTAAAAGGAGGCATGTTTTGTAATAGAAGTTATTTTTGAAAGCATTTCCTATGGGTCCCTATGCCTGAGAGTGCCTTCAGTTTCTAAAGTGGAAATGACCCTATGGCAACAGTTACCCATGGAAAGTGAGGCAAACAGTATTTTGGGGGTTGTAAAATGCTTTCATACACTGAATGAGCATACACTCAAATTACTTACTAGTTAAGATACAGGCTACACATGTCCCTTAACTTATAAGAAGAGTAAGAAATTTGAGGTGTTCAGTTCACAATGACCTTTATTTCCCTGGAAGGACTACAGCCTGTTTAACTGAATGTGACCTTGCATGTTCCAACTCATCTCCTAATGAAGACAAACACCGCTGGAGGGGAGATGCAAGAGTCTTCTTGATATGCCAGGCACCAAGTATTTATTAAAAACACGTTGAGCTAAACAGTTAAAGAATGGATTTGAGAGGTGAAGGTAGCTAGAGGAACAAGCTTGCCTTTTGCACTGCTTTCTGAGTTGTCTATGTATAATATGAAGGTGTGGATCATTATGCAGACTATCATCAATTAACAGGCCTTACTTAACAAATTATCCTTCTTGTTAAGGAGAATAAGTGGTAGTAAAGGTCTAAGAAAGGGGTAACACGAGTACACAACTAGAGTTTCCAGAGTCTGACACTCCATGAGACACTGCCCCCAAAACCCAAGAAAGCCTGAGAACATAAAGACCTGCTGTTCCAGAAGGCCTAGAACAGGAAACAGCAGAACTGGCTAACAGTCTCAGGACCCTTACCTGCCCAAGAAGCTGCCCCTAACTAAAGCAGGAGCCATGGTCTGGAATCACTACAACCACTACAACACTGTAAGCTTGAAGACAACATTCCTTTGGAAAATTCCAGAGGAATATTTTTCCAAATCATAATCCTAATATTTAAACTCCCAAGGAAGTGTCAGGCACAATAAAGATATTTTTAGTGCACAAAATTCAGACAGAAGCAATTGATGGCCTGGAGTGGTGGTTCATGCCTGTAATCCCAGCACTCTGGGAGGCTGAGGCAGGTAGATTGTTAGAGCTCACAAGTTTGAGACCAATGTGAGCAAGAGTGAGACCCATGTCTCTACTAAAAATAGAAAAACTAGCTGGGTGTTGTGGTGGACACTTGTGGGCCCAGTACTCAGGAGGCTGAGGCGGGAGGATGGCTTGAGCCCAAGAGACTGCGGTTGCTGTGAGCTATGATGATGCCCTAGCATTCTACCCACAGCCACAGAGATTCTGTGTCAAAAAAAAAAAAAAGTAATTAACATCAATATTACATGAGAAAGACATGGGAGCAGGTAAAAAGGCATCCAACCGCAGGTGAGATGTCTCCAAAGACAACAGCAGAGCACATGCCATGTTCCAACTGTGTACTGGGGCTGCAGAGTGTTTCTAAGAGAAAGAAAGATCGATTTCTTTTTTAAACAACCTGCTTCCATTTTCCTTTGACTAGACTGCAAAGACAATCATGTCAAGCAAAATAAGCAGATGATAGGTTAATATGCACATACCTCCCTGCAAATTAAGAATACTTTACAAATCCTGCAAAATTTTTATGCTGAAAAGTTGGCAAAAACCATACTTTAACATATTAAAAAAGTAGTGAAACAAGAAATAATACACTTGTGTGTTATTTTAGGGAGTACATAAAAATTAATAAAATCTGTGTTTTTTTGGTTTCTGTTAAAGCGAAAAATTTCTATTAGGTGGTGGCTACAAATTTTTTTTTTCCAGTTTTTGGCTAGGGCCAGGTTTGAACCTACCACCTCCAGTATATGAGGCTGGAGCCCTACTCCTTTAAGCCACAGGCGCCACCCATTACTCTTTAATTTTAATTTAATTCTATTAAGTATTAGCAAGTACACAGTTCACAAATGCCCAACAAATAAGAACTATGAAAAGTATTTTAAGGAGAAAAATCTATCTTACAATTATAATTTCAAAGAACACAAAGAAAATCTTTTATCATTGTTCAGGTGCCAAAATAACAATCAGTTAAAGGAAATTAAGAGATAGTTTGTTTTCTGCTGGTCTCTTAACAAAATAAAACGTGACCCCAAGGAAAATAGCATGACAAATTCTCCAAAGAATGCAGAGGTAAGATGATGAATTTGTTTAAAATAATCAGAGAGAGGGACGGTGCCTGTGGCTCAAAAGGGTAGGGCACCGGCCCCTTATGCCAGAGGTGGCAGGTTCAAACCCAGCCCTGGCCAAAAAAAAAAAAAAAAGAGAGAAATCTTTATCAAGGTAAGCTGAAGAGATCTTTTTTCCCCTTCCTTAGATGGCAAATTTGTATTTTATGATGTGATTTATACATCCCAAAGGTGAGAATTCAAGGTTTGACCCTGCTCTGCACTTGAAGTTCATGCCCCACTGCTGCCGTCAGGAGCAGGTAGAGCAGTGAGATGAGCCATAGCTGAAACACGCAGAGCCCTGACCCGTCCTTGGAGGGCAGTGTGATCACCCACATGGGCAGCAGAGAATGACTTAAAAGTTTAAAGCAGCACAAATCAGTGATCTAACTTTCCTTTATAATTACTAGTTTTACACCATGGTAATTAGATATAAAAGAACTTACGTTCTGATTGTGAGAAATCTAACAAAAAGGAGGGCAAATAAATTCCAGTAAGTGTAGAAAATATCAAAGACAATACAAGCAGTCAGGAAGTATGGGAAATCTCTAAGGAAGACAGGGTGGTATAGCTCAAAAGCGGAGTTTTGTTTCAATGTAATTATTAGATGCTTCATACACTTTGATTTAACATTCAGGTAAATTACTAGACCATCAGAGTATATGAGGTAAATTACATTTCTAGAATTTCACTTTTGTGCTAGTCTCAAAAGCTCTAAATATTTCTAATATCAAATAAAGGCCCCAGTGGAGTAATATTATAAAATATAGTACTGCTACTTTCACCTTATTTTTGATAGTGGATTTAATTTTGTAGATATCCTATGTTATCTACCACAAGACATACATTTTAAGTTATTGACAATATTTCTCAATTTGGAATAAGACGTTAAGGAAAAAAGATTCCTTTTTTTTTTTTTTGAGACAGACTCTCACTTTATCACCCTTGGGAGAGTGCCGTGGCGTCACAGCTCACAGGAACCTCAAACTCTTGGGCTTGATCACAGGCACTTGCTACAACGCCCGGCCATCTTTTGGCTGTAGTTGTCATTGTTGCTCAGCAGGTCCAGGCCAGGCTGGAACCCACCAGCCTTGGTGTATATGGCTGGCGCCCTACTCACTGAGCTATGGGCTCCAAGCCCTGCCCCCCCTCTTTAAAATTCACTTTCCATCTAATCATTTCATCTTTGTTTTTAAACCTTCTAAAATGACTTTCTTCATTTGCTCATTATAGGTAAAAGTATCATTAAAAACTAGTTTTGAAGGTATTTAAGGTAATACCTTAAACAGAAAGAAAAAAACTCAACATACCAATTATATCATTTTATGACAAAACTGATAAATTCCCATGTTGCTTTACTTTCTTAAAGTTAGACAAATAAGAATTTTTTAGAAAACTCAAGCTATAAAATTTGAAATCAAATTTTCAAAACACTGCTTGATGTGTTAAGTAAAGGCTAGGAAATAATGTGTGCTACAAGCTTACAGACTAGGATTCACTGGCTACCAAAGGACTCAGAAAAGTAGTAAGAAAACCATGAAGACCTGTTTCCTTCATCTCAGGAGTGATGGTATTGGGAGGTCCATGTTGTTCCTAAATGGTAAGTGGGAGTGACAGCTTCCTGTGCTGGTGCAGAGGCCTGTGCTCAGGGCGCTTCCTCCTGGGCGGCTTTAAGAGAGGCTGGTAAGAACAGCTTCTCAGTATGAACTGGACTATTTGTGCTCATTGTCCTGGCCCGAAAGTTTCCCCTTTGAAATTTCTTTGAGTATTGTTCCAAGTGTCCAAAAGGTCTAACAAAAATTGATTCCTTCAATTTTTTAATTATCTATTTTCTCCTTCAAAATTTAAGAATGAGCTAGTAAAGCTGGCTGCCTTCACACCCACTCTTCTGTCACCACTTATAAGGTGATTTCAAGCAAAGTCACATAACATTATCTGGGCTTTAATTTCCCCACTGTTAAAATAAAGAGATTAAACAACATGAGAAATCTATAAAATCCCCTTTGTAACTCGATTTCTATAATTCTTTGAGTTTAAACAAATTTATAGACTGCAATTTCCCTGCAAGGTTTGATAATTCCAGTTTAAAGTGAACTCTCTCTTCTATGTTACTAAATATACACCTATTTTAATTTTACAGCTTTAGCACATGAGGGGCAAGCGTTTGAGGCATCATCCTCTCAGTGTATGCACTCACTCACCTGTCCACAGTGGTGCCCTAAGGAACCGCTGTGCTAGACAGATACTCACCGGAGGAATTGTTGAACAGCTCACGACACTGCCCGTAGCAGAAGTAATACTCAGAGTTCTTGTTCTGCACCAATTAATGTCTCTCATATTTTTTTCATCTCTACAATTAAAACATAACCCCACAACTTACACAGTTAATTTTATAATATAAATTAATGTTATTCTTTACATGGCAGTAAAACTTAACATATTATCATATCCCTGAAAGATCACTATATTTAAAAGTTCTGTGAAGGTAAAACTACCTATAATTCAGTCCAATATAGTAACAATTTTCCATTTATCGGCATTCTCATATTTATAGTCACTAAAAAATTCCAAAATGGTAGACATCAAAATTTATCACTTTCCCACAATCTGTACGTCCCTTTTCACTAATCTTCTCCTTTTACTGAACTATACAGACCTGCCCCTTATAATCTAAATTTTTGAGGTACTTTGTTACCTTCCTCAAATAACAGTAAATATAACGGAAACAAAGATGGTGCTCTGTCTGCTAAGGTAGAAAGACTGCAACCATGGAAACCAAGGTGTTTTCATATTGTTCAAAGTTTCAACATGGACAGTGTATAAGAACTCAGCAATAACTTCTAAGAGTTAATATTTTTCAGTAACATAGGCTGTTTTGTGTCAACTTCAAGTGTCCAGACAGTGAGAACAAATTACTAATGAAAAGACAATTTCACCCAATGTAGGGTTAGTTCTATTGCGGTGGTGGTTAATTCCATGTCAACTTCACTGGGGGGCAGAGGGTGTGAGGGGTCTCTGACCTGGAAACAGGAGCACAGCACTGCTCCCTTTGGTGTGCTTATGCTACCCTGAGGGCCTGCTAAGCACAGGGCAGATGGGAGGAGAAAGAGAGAGAGAACACAAGTGCACTCTGGCTGCCTGCTAGACAGGATATCTAGTGTGCTGACAGCAGGTCTAGGACATCTCAATCTTTGTAACTGCATGAGACAGTTTCTTACTGTAGATCTCTTGGTTCTGTTTCTCTGGAGAACCCAAATGAATACACTCACTCACTCAAAATTCTGAACTACTGCCACTCTTGACTTTATCACCCTTGTAAGCTTTTGCCTTAATTTTCCAAGTTTATTATTCAAATAGCAGTAGCCTTGAGACCCAAGAAACAGAGGTATACAGTGAAAGAACAAAATTCTCAGGTTTTGCTTCATAAACAAAACTGTAAAGATAAAGGCAGCTTTAAGAAATTAGCCAGCACATGTGTTGGAAAATGTTCACTAAATGCACTGCTCACCTTATTTTAACTGTCATATTATTAAGTAAAATCAGCATTTCATTATAGTTTGATTCTAAATAAGCTATCACAAATATAAAAATTCTGAGAACTTTTGCTAATCTAAGTGGAGACTGATTCATTAACATCTGCAAGAAAAACAGTCCTTAGAAGATAACATGATACCATTATGTAATTTTAACCACACACAAAGGACAGAAGAGTAAAGGCACCAAAGAAAATTATGTTTTATGTAGAAAACATGTTTACTGCATGTCACACATTTACATGGCTTCCTGTAACTCAAATATACATTAGATGTGTAATTTTGAAAATATATGAAGATTGGGCGGCGCCTGTGGCTCAAGGAGTAGGGCGCCAGCCCCATATACCGGAGGTGGTGGGTTCCAACCTGGCCCCGGCCAAAAACTGCAAAAAAAAAAGTCAATTTACCAGAACTGAAGAAAGTGTTGGTCGCTAAAATCAAAAGGTAATCAATAAAAGCCTATACCTGAGAGGCCTGGATTCTTTACTCAGTGACAACAAGGCAGTTAGATAACAGCATTTGTCCCCACACTCCTCAAAGTCAGCAGAGGCTTCTCCTTGATGTGTCTGACAACCTTGACTCGGGTAATTTTCATTTCTGTTTTTCTCCTCAGAAAATTCAGGTATGGAATTTTTGTCAACAACCTGCTCTTTCATTTCTTCTAAAGCCTGGCTGAAGTCAGTCATTTCAAAGTGGTGTGCACCAGCACTCTGCTCTGATGAACTGTCCTCCCTGATCTGTTCCAGGTCTTCGAATGATCTGTAGCCACTTGACTGGTCCACACAGTTCTGCTCACTTTCATTGTCAGACCTATAACCCTCTGATTTTTCTGACACTTCTCCATCAGAAAACGAAAACTGAGGTCCCTCTTCTGTCTCCGTGTCCCTCACATCTGGGCCAACTGGCTGCAGCAGGTCGTCACCAGCCTGCAGCTCCTTTGTGTAGCCACTGGCAGAAACCTCCACATCAAGAGAGCCCTCCCTCCTAGGAAAACAAGCAGACATTGAGAGACAAACATTTATCTGAAATGAATAAATACCTCTTGTTCTAATAAATGATTCACTAGGTTTGATATTTTACGTATTTTAAATATTTTTCTTTTCATAAAAACCTTAAATTACTTAGGCATACAAATATGAAAGGTAGATACTGTTAACTTTAACAATAAAATACCACTTAAAGGCCGATAGGGAGAAGAAAATAAATCTTAGATATTTTCCCCTTCAAGGTCAGCATCTGGGTGTTTAAATACACATCTCTGGTGTAAAAATAGAAAAGAGGGCGGCACCTATGGCTCAAAGGAGTAGGGCACCAGTCCTGTATGCTGGAGGTGGCGGGTTCAAACCCAGCTCTGGCCAAAAACTGATAAAAAAAAAAAAAAAAAAAAATTAAAAAAATATCAAAAATAAAAATCATATATTAACAAAAAGGTTATAGAAACTTTAGCTGATGAATTATTAACTTACTAAACTAACTTTCAAAGGAGGCTAAAGATTTCTTTGAAATTATGTGACTTGTCCCAAATCAGAATATCTTAAGCGTATAAAATACAAGAAAATTTAGTTTTCAGAATGTACATAATATGTCCCAATAATCAAAGATAGCTCCTGCTCTAAATAAGGGGAACATAAATTTGAATGAACATTTGGTTTGAACACTTATGAATGGGTTAATGGTTATTCACAAAGCATTAAAAATAGAATACAAGTTCATGAATTTTGAAAAACTAGCTATGGTCCTTCTAAATTCAATTGTAATGCCTAAAAGGACCAAAAGCACTATCGTCTAGTAAAGTTTCACTTGTGTAGTATAGAACAGTGATAACTCCACAGTGATTATGCATCAAAGGTCAGCATTTGAAAAAATTTTTAGATGAAAGTTAATTTTTAGTACTAAATAAACAAGCTATTTAAAGAAACATGAACTACAAACCTGATATCACTAAAGGCTGGATAAAGCTCACTTTCATAGCCAAAACGCTTCATGAAGAAATCATGAATGCACTTGACGTCTCTGTTGAAATACCTGCAAAAGCAAGAATCATTTCTGACATAGCTGACAATACACTTATATTATTTGTTACAGTATTCCCGCTCCTGATAGAAGGAAAAAAAGATGTTACACAAAAGGAAAAAGATACAAATTAATTGCCAATGTGTTTACAAAACCAAAATCTAAGGAAATCTTAAGGAATATAAACCATCAATGCCTATGGTGAAAAAAGTCTAGGTTTTCTCACACTCTTACTTGGTATAAGTAAAATATACTACAGGAAGATGAGTGAACTCTAGAAAAGGAGATTACGGGCTACAGACTAGAGATAGGTTTCCACTAATCCCCAGAGTCCCCAGACTGTGTGGCTATGCTTCCCTGCAGCAGCGTTTCACTAGAACCACTGGCTAACTGGGTTCTAGATAAATAGGTCAGTGACAAAAAGATCTTAATGATGCATAAGGAAAGTCTGAAGACTACTATTATGTTTCTGTACTTTTACTACCCTTTAACTGATATGCAGAAACACCCAGAGGGATAGATAATGCGGTGGCTTATAATGATCTGAAAACACGTTAACACAGACCAAAAGTAGAAGGACCTTTGAATTACAAGATTTCCAAATAAAGAAGAATTAAGGACAAAATGACAAAAACTTGAGAAAGATGAAGTTTGGCAACAAGGAGACAATGCCACTCTTCCTTGCTCTCAGGACACCTTGGAGAAAATCTTAATAAATTTTAAAGTTATCATTTTATATATGTTAACATCTCCCTAACTACATAACTTCTTAAAAAGCAGAGATAATGCTTGTTTACACCTCAGTCACAAGTGCTTAGCATGACCCCTTTCCTTAGCACTAGTCAATAAAAATCCAAATTAAGTCATAGTCTCCCCAGGGAACAGTGCAGCCTGAAGGTGGAATGTTATAACCTGTTGCCAGTCTCTTCCTTGACTCTGGTTGTTCCCAAATGTCCCTTTATCATGACTGTGTTACTCTACATGAATAGAAAGGGTGATCAGTCATCATCCAAGGAGTAGTGATCACCCAAGAGTCAGGCATTAATTTTTTAGTATTATTTTGCTGGAAATATTTTTAAAATTTATTTTTAAATGACATTCCTTTCTCTAACTGAAGTGTAGACATTTTCTAATAAGTCACAAGAGGAAGACAAGTTTCATCTAACATGAAATGCTTCAAGCTCAAACCCTGCAGGAATGAACATGCTCTACCATGTAAGTGATACCAGCTGTTACGTTTGTATTTCATAACCTGGCTGGTGGTTAGGTGATGTGAAGACTGTGACCACCATCGAGTATGAAGAGACTGCCCCATATCAGAGATGAAGTTTTATGTGCATTCTTTCCTAATAACGAAACAGAAACTAAAAAATGACAAAGGATAATTATCACTTGTCTTATAACTAGGTTTTAGTCCAAAATTACCTCATTTGCTTGGGGCCATCATTACTTGGTGAAGTGCTCTTGAGATGACTGGAGAGAGGAGGGGAAAGGGAGAGAAAATACTGGTCCTAGGATTCCTCTCTCCACTTACCTCCTTCTTCTGGGCAGGCTTTTATGTTTTAAATATTGAGCTTCTCACCAAAAGTATACAGGAAGAAAAGGTTCCAGGGATGAGAAATTTTGACTTCTCCTTTTTTTTTTTTAACAGTTTTTGGCCAGGGATGGGTTTGACCCCACCACCTCCAGCATATGGGGCTGGCACTCCATTCCTCTGAGCCACAGGCACTGCCCGAAAATTTGACTTTTCAAACTCTGTCAAATTATAATAGGGTGATTGAAATTCTTTTGATGCTATTTTCATTGTGGTTTACATAAACAAAATAGATAAGCAGGCAATGTCTTCAGATTTCAGATTTTGTCTTCAATATATAGTATAAGCTTAGTGAAGAGTTTTTAAAAACTGGATCAAAGTAAAAATTTTCCCTTTATAAAACTGAGGAATAAGATTCTTTTATAGGGAAAATTCTAATAGTTGGATTATACTTTAATGAAAACTATATTTCTGTAACATCAACACCAGCCACTTTGAGCTAATTACTGACCTAAGTGATAGTATTAAAAAAACTGAAAAATTATGAAAAAATGATTCCACTAAGCAAAAATATACCCACATCTAGAATCAATTTCAGCACATACCATTCAGCATTGGGATGAGAAGTTGAGACCATCTGTGGAAAATCGATCATGATGATATGATCATTTTCATCCAAAATGAGATTAAATTCATTGAAATCTCCGTGAATCAGCCCATGATTCCCAAGTCTCACAATTAGTTCCATAGCTTCATCATATACTGAGGCAGGATCTTCAACATGGTGTATCTGACATCTGAAAGTATTTTAAGTATAAAAACAGGTTATTTGTACTCATATATGGTTTTTGTGAAAGCATGCATGTGTGCACATGTGAACTTTTGAGCCCTGTCTCCCCAACAGTTTTCTCATTTCCATCACATACAGAAGTAACATCTACCAATTTTAAAACAGAGCCATGTCCTGCTTCAATTGTTTCTTTCTACTATTACCTCCTTTATCCTCTTCTTCTACATGTATTCCAATTTCCTTCCTCCCATTCTCCAAGAAACCTATTTTAAGCAGGCTTTTACTCATCTCCTTCCTATCAAAATCTCTTGTGGAGACTACCAGTGATGTCTATGTTGCTATATCCAAGGTCCATCCATGGCTCTCATGGTACCTGATCCATCAACTGACTTCTCTGCCCTCTTTGAAACATTTTCTTCACTCAACTCTTAGGACATGTTCTTCAGATCCTCCTCCTTTCCTCACAATCATACCTCCCTACTCTTTTTTGTTATTTCTTTCAAGTTTCCTCTTGCCTCTAAATTTTGGAGTTCCTCAAAATCTCCTGTGGGCTCCCGTTTTCTATTATTTGACTTATTCTCAGTGTCTTGTCAAAGCACATGGCTGTATCACACACTGTAGGCTTCTCTAACTTCCATGCACTGTAAACTCCACGTCTAAAACTGTGTCTCAGATTCTGCCCCACCCTTCAACTCTAAATCTCTTCCTGCTGCTTTCCTGGTCCTGTAAATGGCAACTTCATCCCTCCAATTAATCTGTTACTCAGGCCAAAACCTCAATGTCATCACTTGACTCGCCACTTCCTTCTCATCCACATTCAACCCCAAACACATCATGCTGCTTCAACCCGCAGAACATTCAGAACCTGACCACTTTTCAATAAAAACTACATTTCCATAACATTAACTCAGTAATTCAGTCACTTCAAACAAATAACTGACCTAAATGATAGTATTAAAACACTGAAAAATTATGAATAAAAAATGACTACAGCTGGGTGCAGTGGCTCATGCCTTTAATCCTAGCTCTCTGGGAGGCCGAGGTGGAAGGATCATTTGAGCTCAGGAGTTCAGAGACCAGCCTGAGCAAGAGTAAGACTTGTCTCTGTTAAAAAAAGAAAAAAGAAAAAAAAAAAAAACTAGCCGGGTGAGCAAGAGTAAGATTTGTCTCTGTTAAAAAAAAAATATATATATATAAAAAAAAAAAAAACTAGCCGGGTGTTGTAGGGGTCGCCTGTAGTTCCAACTGCTTGGGAAGCTGAGGCAGGAAGATCACCTGAATCCTCTTGAGGTTGCTGTGTGCTAGGATGATGTCATGGCACGCTAGCCTGGGTGAGAGTGAAAATCTGTCTCAAAAAAAAAAAGTAAAAATAAATAACTAACTATAAAATGATTCTACCAGGCACAGTGATCCACATCCAGAATCACTGTTGCTGTGATCAGAGCTGCTGTCATCTGTTGCCTAGGTTACACTGCCTCCTACTTTACCTAATTCTTTGTCTCTCTTAAGTCTATTCTTTACACAGCAGCCAGACTGATCCTACTAAAACAACAAACAGATCACATATTTTCTTGCTCAACAGTCTCACCCCAATGCCTTTCCATCTCAATCAAAATGCGGTAAGGTTTCACCTCACACTACCCTATGTGAACTAGAGGACTTCTACCGCCACTTAGCACTTTCTAGTCCTTGTACTCTGTTTTATTTTTATCCAGGTTATTCCTTACTACCTGATTCTTGTTTATTTGTTCCATGTCTCCTTCTATCAGAATGAGGCCAGGGACTATGCTTGTGACTCTTTTTTTTTTGAGACAGGAGCCTCAATCTGTCCCCGTGGGAAGAGTGCTACAGCTCACAGCAACGTCCAACTCCTGGGCTCAAGTGAGTCTCCTGCCTCTGCCTCCCAAGTAGCTGGGATCACAGGCGACCGCCACAATGCCTGGCTATTTTTTTTTTTTTTTTTGATCATTGTTGTTTGGGCGGCCCGGGCTGGATTTGAACCCGCCACCTTGGGTGTACATGGCTGGCGCCTTAGCCACTTGAGCCACAGGTGCCGAGCCGCTTTGTGACTCTTAATATTATAAATATTAAAACTGGATGAATAACAGATATTACAAAGTCCATAATGTCACTAAGAAACTGAGTTTTCAATTTGTCTTTGAGTTAATTCCTAAGTCAATTTCTAATCTCCCAGAAAGTAATATTTCATTAATTTAAGAAATTTTTCTAAAAAACTTTAAACTTAAATTCATTTATTGGAATCCATGGCTTCAAGCATAATGAACACTTACAGAGGATAACCATTTATGATCTCCATGACCACTGCATGGCGATTGTAATCAACTGGCTTTGGAACTGGAAATTTCCTCTCATATAACACCTAAAATATAACAAAATAGGCATAAGCTAATGAGGAGGTTATTATTTTCTAAAGAACAATAAAAGTAAATGTACCTTTCCATAACTAAAAGAAAAATACACAAGCCTTTATAAAACTACAGTTAATACCTGGGTATTTAGGCAGCCTGGTTTACTTATTCACTGCACAGAACGAGTTATATGTAAAAAAGAAATTTTAAACTAAAGTTTGCTTGAATTCACTTCTCCACCAAAATGACATTTATAAAATATTATGTACTGTGTTAGGGATACAAAAATGAGTGTCAATAAGTCTCTGCCCTCCAGAAACTTACAGTCTCTTAGGATGTTCCCTATTTTATAAATTTCTGCCATTTGCTGACATGTGCTAACAATATCCAAATGGAAACAAACTGTGAAGTTGGAAACAGCCTGTCTTCTGGCACTTTAGGAAACAAGGCATTCTAACAGAACAGACGTTTTAGGTTACAGAGCTCCCATCTTTTTCTCCAGACCACAATATGCTATATAAATCTACTACGTGACAAACATATTGTAGCAGTCTGAGTCTACTGTTCTTTTAGATAATCCATACTATTTTCTTTTTCCCTATGCTTAATTTCTTCTGTCTCACTGTTTACAAAGTCTTAGTATTACTTCTTTCTTTAGAATACCTCTGCAATGTTAGCACCTGTAAATAGGCCTGGGTCATCTCTGTATGACCATGCTACCAATGTCTCCAGTCCTGCCATTACATCCCACCTATTCTGTGTGCTAATACCAGGCAAAGATGCGGATATAGATGCCAACACTCCATTTAAAAAAACAACAGTTGTTAATGTTTCAGTCCAAACAACTCTTCTAGATTTTTCAAAACTCTCTATAATCCACCTGTCCAATCCCAGTTCTCTCAATTCTCTAATGAGCACCCAAAAGGCCAGCTAGGACAGCCACCCCATCAATAGCACACACAGGGCTCATACCTATGCAAGTCCTTGCCCTCACTGGCTCCTCTGAGATGAGTTGCCTTCTCTTACAGTCAGTCAACAACCAGCCCTACGCATCATAGCTCCACAAACAGCTCACTTACTTTACGAAAACTCCTTTATCAACTACTCTATTCTACCAAAGTTTCTTTAAACTCGATAGATACTTTACACAGACTATACTGGTTATTTCTTTGGTATACACTCCTTCACCCCACTTAACCTAGTATTTGATTGTAACACTCTGAGAAAATACCTTATATAGTGTTGGGAAAATATGTAAGTTTGGGGTAAATATGTAAAATATCTGTCAAACTACTTACTATCACAGGATACAAACAAGTACATGATTAAAAACTGTCACAATACAATTAGTATAAGAAATATATAACATGAACTGTAACAGGACCATTCATATGGACTTAGAAATTCTTCCACAATTACTAAAAATTTAAGCATATAAATTAAAATAATCTACTCACAGAACAACAAATTTAACTCCCAAGAAAAATGTTCACAGACTAAAACAATTTTTAATAATTCAAAAAAAAATTTTTTTTTTGAGACAGAGTCTCACTTTGTCTTGGTAGAGTGCCATAGCATCATAGCTCATAGCAACCTCAAACTCTTGGGCTAATGCGATTCTCTTGCCTCAGCCTCCCAAGTAGTTGGGACTATAGGCCTGCCACAACTTCCGGCTTTTTTAACAGGCAGGGTCTCGCTCTGGCTCAGGCTGGTCTCGTACCTATAAGCTTAGGCAATCTACCTGCCTCAGCCCCCCACTGCGCCCAGCCAATAGTTCAATTTTTTTTAAAAAAAGAGATAAATTCTGACAAATCCTACTGGACAGAATTTATTTTCCGTTTAATTTAGTTATTACTGAATATGTTTAATTTGGCTATTAACAAAGATATTTAGTAAATTTATGCTGAATTTTGCATGTCAAATATTTTGACCATTTTAAATATAAATTTGTAAACTGACATTTGTTACACTGTGTGAAAGAAAAATACTAGTCAATTTACCTGAGGCTGTAAGGTTTCCAAAAATGGTAATTACCTGGGGTTTTCAATTAGAGAGACTACATATGGTTTTATATTGAAGAGACATAACATATATCCATACAAATTATAAAGTAACTACATTATTATTTTCAGCTATTTCATCTTGTTAAAACTGTAGAATGTGTGTTGTCTTTATATATTAACAATTAAACAAATAATCCACAAAGCTAAAAGTGACCACAGGACCAAGTCTGGGATTAGAGATATGGGGCACCACACTGATGCTTGTCACCAAGGCCTTTGAACTGTATGTATTAGTTGGCTAAAAAAATGCAAAATTATTTTTAAAATACCTTCATATAGGCAAATTCCTTCATAGCAGAGAGACGAGATAAATAAAGCCAAGACACATTATGCCTGTGTTTATGGTAATCACGCTTGTTTTTCAGATTTCGAAAGGAGGTTCTTCCCAGTCTGTGAAGCTTTAATGCAAATTGCTGTCCTTCTTCATTTGCAACAATGTAAATATCTAGAGCCAAGAAGATCACTATTATACTTTTATTCCAGTAAATTAAAAAAATTTTAACTCTCATTTTATTTGACAAGTATCTTATCTTTCCTAATACAGCATCCCTTATCTAAAATGCTTAGGACCACAGTGTTTCAAATTTTGGAAGATGTATATATAAATAATGAGCTATCTGGGGATCAGGACCAAGTCTAAACACAAAATTTATGTTTCACATATACTTTATACACATAGCCTGAAGCCTAAATATTTTTAATAATTTTGTCCATGAATCGCAGTTTGTGTATATGAGGTCAGGTGTGGAATTTTCCACTTGTAGTGTCCATCATGTCATGCTAAAAAATTTTCAAATTTTGGAGCATTTCAGATATCTGATTTTCAGATTAGGGATTGTTAATATATATAACTAGGGTTACTTATCATTTGGCAAAATGCTATATTCCATGCATTCACTATTTTACCTTAATTATAATTCAAAATGATAAGCCAATATATATTAATAACTATGACAAAAGAGACACAATGTGTTAAAAATTCTTGCTTCCAAAGGTGCTCAATGCGTATATTTACCATGTCAAAAGAATCACTCAATATAGTAGAAAAAATATCTAAGTGTTCCTTAATGTCCCATATGTGAGAAAAGTGATATTGAATCTTCCTTTTCAATGTGAAGTTCAATTCTTCAAGTTCTCTTAGAATGTTATTTGTAGAATAATACTCATTTAGAGCATTATACACTGAACAATACCTGATTCTAACTATTGATAGCTTAGCTCAGTATAGAGTACACATCTCCATTCTGTCAAAAAGATTAAAACAATGGAGATTTTCCAGTAAGTATGCTGTCAATTATCAAAATAAGTCGCTACATCTCACACTGAAATTTAGAACATGTTCTAATCACTCAGGAGGATTTGTATTTTTATTAAAAAAACAGGCTGTCACACATTGATGGGATTATAAATTAGTATAAACTATCTAGAAAAATTTGGTCATATCAAAACTTTAGATGCACAAACTTTTTGCCCTGTTCTGCACTGGACTCTGCTCCCCTAAGACTCCATTGCTAAATTTCTAATGCCCAAAGGCCCTACCTAGATAGGGCCTTTAAAGAAGTAATTAAAAATAAGTGAATGAAGTCGTAAGTGTGGGGCCCTAATCCCACAGGATTAGTATCCTTATCAGAAGAGGAAGAGACACCAGGGACAAAGGGAAAAGGCCACTTGAGGACACAGCAAGGCGGCAGGTGTCAGTAAGCTAACGTGAGGACTTAGGAGAAACCAAACCTTTGTACTCAACTTTTAGTCTCCAAAATTGTGAGAAAATAAATTTGTTTAAGCCACAAGACTGTTATTTTGCTCCAGCCAACAAATACATGACTCAATAATCAATCACCATGAACATATTTACAAATTTATGTGCACATATGCACAGACACAAAAGTGTTCAAATACATGCCTCAATAATTCAATCACGAGGAACGTATTTACAAATTTATGGGCACATATGCACAGACCCAAGAGTGTACACACTGCATCACTACTTACAAAAAAAGACCAGACGTAACCTAGTAACCTAATGACCACTAACAACTGGGGACTGATAAACTCAATTACAGAGTATTGTACAATGTTAATACTCTGCAACTATGGAGAAAGATACATCTGTTGATTATGAAGTGATAACAAGGGTACATCAAGTGGACAAAATCAAGGTGTAGAATAGTGAGCACTGTTTGCTTTCCCTTGTGATTAAGGAGATAATGAAGTTATATATCTATACCCTTAGTATATATAAATACACTTACACAGAAAATCTGTAGTTAATAATTGACATAAAAATGTCCAAAAAAAAAAAAAATAGGAAATCTACTTCATAGAGGGTGCTTCACATTACTTCCGTTTTTTTATTTTCCACACACATTGTATCCTATTAATTATAGTACTCATTTTACTTCTTAAATTTATACTGCAATCTGGGTATAAATCGAGAAGACATACAAACCATATCAACTACCTCAGCAATCTTCTTTGGAGTAGGCTTCCAAACATTTCTTCTGCTTCCTGAGCTTAGATAAATAATGTAACTATAGGATAAACTATATCACAGAAAAAGCAGTAAGTAAGAGAGCATGATATGAGGATAATCATTCCCTGTTCTTTATTCCTATGGTCTTCTACATAGGAAATAAATACACAGGTATTTGGTCAATGTTATTTTGTAATCCTTTATTTTTCTGTAGGTAAGAAAAATACACATATTTAGCTTTGCCTGGTTTACCATACTGCTGTTTCCATACATAGGAAATAAATACACAGGTATTTGGTCAATGCTATTTTGTAATCCTTTATTTTTCTGTAGGTAAGAAAAATATACATACTTATCTTTCCTGGTTTACCATACTGCTATGATTTATTAAAATGTATTTGTTGTTTTTAGTCACTAAAATATCTTCTAGTACATCCTTGTGTACATATTTTTAACTACTAGAAATGTACAATTTATCTACATTGCTAGATCTAAAATAAGAGCAAATAAAATATCTGTCAAAAAACTATTAGAAGAAAACTGGTATAAATAAATTTTCAGTGAAGACTTTTGGAGAAACAGTAACAAAATTAAGGGTTAATTCATAATTTGTATTGCTTCCAACCACCTTTCCACTTTACTGTTTATCTGGAAAAAAGGGCAAAAATTAAAAGAGGAATGCCTTCTCTAGGGAAAGCAGTACTTACGGAAACCTATTAGTTTCCAAAACAATGAAAGTATTTTCCATAAGTACTATTAGTACTTACCTGATTCTTTGCCAACACCCATCTGGTTTCCAACAGATGCAACTACTTGTCTAGAAGAAAGTGTTTTCAAAGCCAGGTAATCATAGCCTGCATTTGTCAACCGATAGCCCTGGACAGCTGGACAAAATCAATTGAGAAACACCATATTTTAGTTATATTGTATCTCAAGTCATATAAGTTCAAGACATAGGAAGAATTTAAACATGGGAAGTCTTGGTTGGAAAAGGATAGGCTACCCAGGCTTAAAGTTTCCCATTTTTCTACAATTTGTATTTTTTCCCTAGTGCATGTAGTGTTAACTTGTGACCCACAGACTGATAACTTTTCTAGTAGCTACTTTTAACTATATATTACAGGGACCTGTAATAGGTTTAAAAAAATTCATCCCTTATCACATAGGGTTTGAGATTAATGCTCTAAAGTCCTGGGGCAGACTGTATTTTCTAAAGATGGTAGCAACAACATCTTTAACCTACTCTATCTTGTGCAGTACAACCCCTTGACATTCCCTTCTCTCTACCTCGTCTAACCTTTGTGTGCTCTGTTTTGACCAACAGATATGGCAGAAGTGTGTTTGTTAGTTCTTCACCAAGAGCTTTTCTAACCTGGCAAATGCCACTGCTTGACTGTTCAGAACACCTGGGGAGAAACCAGTTACTTGAAAAAATCATAAATGCCACTTCAAAATACTTACTCTTGGTACGCTCCCAAGCTATAAGTTTATGTTTCACTAATTCTTTTAAAACTTTATTACAGCCACCATGTTTAAGGCTGGCTATAGAGGCGATCAAACTGGGAGGAACTATCTCATGGTTCTTCATGCCCATTTCAACCTGAAATTAAAGAAATCATTACATAATCATAATTGATACAAAGCCTAACACAGGCTTACTAAGAAATTAACTTCTCCTTGAAAATTCCCTGATCATGCAGTTCTCCAACTAATTCTGAGACATAATTACTTCCTTTTTTGAACATATTTTTATCATAATTCAATATTTAATCACTGTTAGTCATTCTGCCTTTCTACTTCAAGGTTGGGAATTATGAGTAGCTCACACACGTAATGACATGTGTTAAATCCTAAAATAATTGCTGACATCTAAACATTTGTCTTTAAATTTACAAGTGTTGCAGATATTTATTAAGCAGGTATGTAATGAGAAAGCATCATACCTAGGCATTATGCTAGGTATTGTGGAAGATTAAAAAAATACATAATAATACACACTTTATTCCAGAGAATTTATTAGCAAACTGTAGAAATAAGTACACATCTAACTTTACTACAAGGTAAGAAGTGATAAGTGCCAGAAAAAAATAAAAATAAAAAGAGGTAGCTAAGGGCAAGACAAGAATACTTTCAGGTGGGAGAGCAGTTCCAGGGAAGAAGCAATATTTGAGATTGACGTTGAGTTGTGGGCATCCAGAGAAAGCAGAGGAAGAAATGGGGCACATTCAAGAAAGTACTGAGCACAGGAAGCAAGTATAGTGTTATCTCAGATAAAATGACAAGTAGAATTAATGCAAAAAAACCTGGAAAATACTTCCAAGATATAAAGCCTTGAAACATAAATGAAATGTCTTATATTTTATACTGAGCAAAGCAGAAAACTCTTTCAGATATGTAGGCAAGGAAAACACATGAACAGAGTCATCTTAAGAACACTAATCTGATAGCAGGAATATGCAAACTGCTTTAGAGATGGGAAAAACTGGAGGGAGTGTATAGAAGAACTAAGACAGTATTCCATGAGGGTGTGTATGGGAGAACTAAGACAGTATTCCAGTTAAGAACAAGCTGCAGTGGTAATGTTAGGAACAAATTAAAGATCTTTAGGAAGAAGTATGGGAGGGTTTGGCAATAGGATGTGCAAGGTGGATGGAATGGAAGTAAAGAGGAAGAGCACACTTTAAAATTGTTATTATTAGCAGATTTTGGGAAAAGAGAAAGAGGGTAGAAAAGCTGATGAACTTGGTTTGAGCACAGGGTCAAAGGAAATGTTTGAAGGAAAACTGGAAAGGGATCTATACTTAGGAATGAAATCAAAATTACAGGGGTAAATTGTCAGTTATTTGATAGAGGTGAGATGAAATTGTAGAGTGAATAAAATCACTGAGCAAGAAATAATGGGAGAAAAAGAAGTGCTGGGGACTTCTTGGGGGATAAGTTCAAATTGAAAGATAAGGGCAGCTAGTCAAACAATGATTACCATGTTAGGGGATCCTCCAAAGAAGTCAAAGGCAAGAGAGGGACAAGGAGCGGTACTAACAGTGATGAGATTCCCCTGAGACTGGAGCATCATATTGAATTACCATGTCATGTCATGCCTTGGTAAGCTTCAAAAAGAACTTAAATATTGCATAAAGTTTTGGAAGACAAATCTGACATCATTTCTTTTCCAGCTCATCTCGGACCATTAGTCTCTGACTCACTACGTTCCAGTCAGTATCCTTTCCTTTCTTCAAAGACCTTCTTGCTTCAACATCTCTGCACTTATTTATTCCTGTTTCTTGCACTTCCAGCCCTTCCCATGGACTTCACTAGGCTCCTGTGATTCTCCAAATCATTCTTTCATTTATTTAGCGAATACTTACTTATTGCCTACCAAAGGCCAAGAACTTTTGTTTTTTTAAAGACCTTTGGTTGCAACAATCAACAGGCAAGATTCCAGCACAACCGGTAGCCTTCCCTGACTACCCAATTCAAAGACAGCATTCCGCTTCTGCTCCCCAGATGTACTTACTTTCTACTCCATCTTCCTTTACCATCTTCATAGCACCTAACATTATCCTACTTACTTATTTATTCATTTATTTCGTGATCTCTCCTGGACTGTCTATTTTGTTCCCCGATGAACTAGGTAAAAAAAACTTGCTACTTAAGCTGACCAACGTGTGGTGACTATAAGAACCCATTAGACTCCCACCGGTTAGTGCGTGGGGACGCAGGGCTCTTGCCCCTGGGCCCGCCCTCCAGGGGCTCCAAGAGCTCAGGTCGGAGAAGCTGGAGGTGTGAGCGTGTGTCTTAAGCGCAAGGAGAATAGGAACAAAAAAGAAAATGATTTTTTGAGTGGGGGGGAATCTTGCTATATTTTGGTAAAAGCTCCCAAACTAAAGCTTTCGAACCCGACTCTCCGGCGCTTGCCCCCTCCATTCCCAGCCTCAAATCCAGGCCCAGGGCGTGACCGCTCAGCTCCAGCAAACTTCGCGGCACAGGACGAAGACGCGAAACGGGAAGGGAAGAAAGGGGACACCATTGGCTTCTTACCGCGGTCAGAACCCTGAAGTCATCCCGGCTCAGGTAGCGCAACTTGGCCACGTTCACCTTCCCCATGGCGGCAGCGGACGGAAATCGCTCCCAGGACCACCGGAAGGCGCAGGGCAGGCCGGGACAAAGGCATCTAGGGCGGGTCCACGCCCTCCGGTTTGCGCATGCGCCGCGCCGCGCCTTACCCCCCCCAGGTCCTTGTTAATATGTAAGTTGTTATTCTCAGTAGTATGGAAAAATAAAATGTCTTCTGTGCCTTATAGGGCACATAGTATGGAACACAGGGGAGTCTTATTTTTGAATGATTTTGTAATAGGATTGAGTTGGCCTACTGTAAATGTTCTTTATAAAATGCTGTTTTCTTTCGCCTGTCAGGACCACTGCCTGAAAGACACTCCTGGCCTCCCAGAGCAAAGGAAGAACGTGAGTGGGAGGAGCGGCATCTGTTGCCTCAGGCAAAGTGACTTGTTTGGAGCCGGAGACTAGACGGCTGAAGCTGTGAAGGTAGAGAAGGCAGTAACGCCACAAGCAGCCTCTCCGGCCCGGATTGCCCGCGGGGTCCCAGAATCTCTTGCGCTTACTCGGCCTCGGAAAGCCGGAGCCTGCGGGGGAGCAGGTGGGAGGCTCAAGTAGGGGTCTGAGGGGCCGCAGGTGAGGGATCTGAGGGCGCAGGTGAGGGATCTGAGGGGCCGCAGGTGAGGGTCTGAGGGGCCGCAGGTGAGGGTGTAAGGGAGCGTAGGTGGGGGTCTGAGGGGCCGCAGGTGAGGGT